TGTTGGTTGAAGACGACGTTCAAGAGTTATCCAAACTTCATGGGCGGTGGTTGAGGTGATTACATAAGGAAGAATTGAGGGAGATATGGTGGAGAACAATGCTGATATCAGGTTGTTTTCAACAAGGCTCCACTGGATGTAATCTTGAGATGCTTCGTCGGCCAGTGGATTTGTCTTTCTGATAAGATGTCAGGCATATCCGTTGGCCGTGAAGTGCTGGAGAATTTGAATTCGCCAAATGGCATAGTTGTCGATGGTGAGCGGATGCGGAAGCAGATTCTTGATATTTGAGATAAGAAATTTAAGGGCTGCCGGAATAGATAGATCAGAGGAGTAGATACTGGCAAGAGTAGAGGAAGAGGGAGGGAGGGAGGTTGTAGAATCTTGATCCCCCATTGTTGGCTCTTGATACCATGTAAGGTAGGCCAAGAGAAAGGGCCACAGAGAACAACTAGGAAACAGAGAAGAAAGAAATGATTTGATTAATTCATCAAGAGAGAATACATAGTACAATATATAGACTAAAATAGGTATACTAGTAAATACACATATGACTAGGATAACAATCATAATCCGCATGCTAACAGAAAACAGTTGAACCCGTATTGTTTTTTGCTTGACCCGTTAAGGGATTCTCTATCTTATATCTTCATAGACCTGCTTGTTATATTCAAAATCATCGAAACAAATGTTTTAATTGCTGGTAGAGTATTTCAAAATTTTCTTAGGGGCTGTTTGGTTGACTGATAAAGAATTTTTTATTTTATTTAATTTGGATGAATATAAAGGGTTTAGGACTTTTTGTTTGGTTTGAAATAAATTGATTACAATATAAAGTGAATAATGGTGGCTAGGGTGGCCAGAGGCGATGGCCAGCGGTGGTGACCGACGGCAAAGGTTGGCGGTAGTGGCCGGAGGTGGCTAGCCAGCAAGCAGATGTGGCCAGCAAGGGATAGCAATGCCTTGAGTTTGCTATGTATTTGAAAAACGCCTGAATCTAAGGAAATCTAAATACACAAAAAATGAACTAAAATTGATTACACAGTATTGTTTTACTTTATCTTGAATTTATTTTTCATTCAACCAAATAGTTAAACTATCAAAATCCTTGCATTTGGATTACTCTACATCCTAAATGCATCAAACCAAACAGCCGCTTAAGCTAACTAAACACTTTCTCTATACTTTTACAACGAATATTAATTTCCTTAACGAGATTAAGGCTTTGTTTGGAACAACATTTTTATTTCTTTATAAAATAAATTTTAATACAAAATTTCTTAAATTTAAAATTTTTGCATTAAAATATTATTTTAGAAAACGACAAGGCAGCTGCCCCAAATGGAGCCTAAATGAATAAAATATAAGATTTATATGCATTAAGTAGTTATAAACGACACAGTTGTTCACTCAAATAAAAATAAAATAAAATAAAAAAAGAAAGCTTTTGAGCTGAAAGTCTACAGCTGATCGTTCTCAAAAACAGGGGCAGTTTGGAAACAATTTTATTTTTTTGTTTTTACCTTTTAATTTTAAAAATGTTGGTTTGTGATATTTATCGCTATTATAATTTTTTATTTTAAGAACATATCATTTTACATTAAAAAAATATTCAAAATATTTTTTATATATTTTAAATATTTTGAAAAACTATCACCATCATCAATTTCCACCGCTAGTCACTGCTTGTGATCCTAGCAATCACCATCTCCACCGACAATCACAGTAGACCACCAACAACGAACCAATATTGTCGATGACCACCACCACAATCCCCTCCGGTAACAGCCACCACGATCACAAATTAATTTATTCAATATTCAATAAAAATAAAAACAAACTAAACTTCTACAAGCACCGTCAATAAATTAAATTTTTTGAAAGCTATGATAAAACAGTGGCAAAAAATTATCCCAAATGAAATCTAAGAGATTGAGTATGTCGATAAACAAAGCACTAGCAATACCAGATTTGAGGGATTTTGTGAGCCTTCTGAAACTAATAATTAGAGAAAACAAGGATTAAAATGGTCCAAAACTTTTTTTGTAAGGATCAAAAATGGTGCTAGAAGAACCAATTTGGTATCTCAACTCTTTAAAATGCATTATCTTTTTTGCATTTAACATTTAATGTTGGAGTTAATATGTGTTAAATTATAATGGTATTTTAGGTCATTTTTTATTAAATATTTATTAAATATAATTTTAAATAATTATAATTTTCTAAAAAAATTATTTAAAATGTTTTATAATAAAAAATTAATAATATTTTTAATAAAAAAAAAATAATAATTTTAGTTTAAAATTTCAAAATTTTACCAATTCATGTTTTATAAAATATGATTTGTAAAACTATGGTGTGGCTAAGTTTAAATAATATCTATTGCATATGATTTCTCTAAATAAAATAAAATAACATATTTTATAAAATATGACTAAAATTTTTGAAAATTAAAACATAATATAATTGTTATTTTTTTTATTAAAGAGAACATTTAATATTTTTTATAATTACTTTGAAAATTATATTTAATAAAGAAATAATGAAAATACTCATATAATTTAACACCATTAATTCTAGCATTACGATGTTAGGACAAAAAAAATTTCATTTTAAAGAGATTGATGTACCAAATGATCCCTAAAAAAAGTTAGAATATTTTGTACCCTCACAAAAAAATGAGGAACATTTTTCTCATTTTCTCCCAATAATTATTATAAAATTGAGTGTTTGTATTTCAAATAACTATTACTTAGTGCTACTTTTTCATCATTTTTTTTTAAAAATTATTAATATAAGTTATTTTTTGCAACAACAATTATTTTTTTCAGTGGTTCTATGGTTTTGGTGCGACTCTATAGTTTTTTTTCAAGTTTTGAATTTTTCATGTTAAATCATTATGTTTGTTGCGGGCTAGAAAATACGCTGGCGATAGAGGTTTAATTCTGCGTCTTAGCGTTGAACGGATAACTAGCCTCGCACACAGAGAACACAAGATTTTTTACTGGAAAACCCTTGAAAAGGGAAAAAACCACGGCCTAGCACCAATTGAAAATGATTCCACTAGAACTTTGAATCGGTTACAAAAGTTGAATCACCTTCAGGGGTGTCAGATTACAACTGGTTACTATCAAAAAAGGAGTCGGGTGTTAGACCCAGTATCACTTGGAAGATCGGATGTCGATAGTCCGGACGTTGAAGCTGAGCGTGGTGTCTGAATGTCGGGCCTTGAGTGACGTCGGTCTTCGCAGGACGTCGGGTCTTTGGAGGACGTCGGCCTTAAACAGAACGTCGGGTCTCCAGCAAGGAGTCGGGTCTTCAGCCAAGGAGACCGTCGGGTCTTCAGCAGGACGTCGGGTCTTCAGCAGGACGTCGGTCTTCGCCAAGACGTCGGGCCTTAGGCGGGCGTCGGGTCTAACAGGTCGTCGGGTCTTCAGCAGGACGTCGGGTTCTTCGCAGGACGTCGGGCCTTAAGTAGACGTCGGGCCTCAGCAGGGACGTCGGGTCTTTTAGCAGGACGTCGGGCCTTCAGCAGGACGTCGGGCCTAACAGGACGTCGGGCCTTAAGCAGGGACTCGGGCCTTAAGCAGGACGTCGGGTCTTTCAGCAGGACGTCGGGCCTTAGGCAGGAACGTCTAGTCTTCAGCAGGACATCGGGTCTTCCGCAGTGGTGCAACAAAACTCCGGCGAGGCTTTTGGCGGTGGTCCGGCGAGTTCCTGCGTGGTCGCGCGTGCCCGGCGAAGACTCCTCGGTGTCCGGCGGTGGCCCGGCGAGACTTCTGCGGTGGTCCGGCGTGGCCCGGCGAGACTCCTGCGGTGGTCCGGCGGTCGTCGGAAGAGGAGCTCCCTCCTCTTCTTCCTTCTCTTCTTTCTCCTCTCTCTTGCCTGGATCCCCCCCCCCCCATTGTGATGAAGGAGGGCTCTATTTTATAGATTTTCTGGAGTGGCATGCCGTAAATAGTGGTGAGATCAAAGGGCGAAAGGCAGTGGTTTTAATGGATGGCCATTAGTGAACCCTTCGACATGCACCGTATTGTTCAGACATTATGAATGCCTTAGTGATGTCGGAATTCGGAGATCTTGGGTCTCGTTGGATTCGTCTCTCGAGCCGTTCGATCTCGAGTATATAGCTCGTCAAAATCGGAGTCGTATTTTGGTAACTCGAAATTGTGGTTTTGAACCTTCCAACAGCGCATTCGGGTCATGATTTGGGGCCCATTGGGCTCGGATTTGGGCGAATTTCGGTGTCGTTGGATTTCGTATTTCCAAGACGCTCAGTTTGACAATAAGCTCGCTGAAATCGGAGTTCGGGTGCTCCCAAAATTAATTTTTGAAGTTTCCAACTAGCTTTTGCCTCGAGATTCGTGCCCGATCAAGCTAATTTTGTGATGACGTATCAATGTTCTTTCTCATTATTTTCTTCTTCTTTTTTCTGTTTCATTGCGTATTTTACTTCCCAACAAATTTGTATTATTCTTTAACAGTGATTCATTCTAATCAAATTTCTTCCAATATTATCAGCACCATAGAACTTGCAAGCTTAAAGATAAAGCACAAGATCGCCCATTGGCTACAACTTCAAGCCGATTCGAAAGTTGATTGCTAACTTCACTTTAGGTCAGTATGAATAGGGCATTAGCCTTTTATTCAATCATGTCTCAAAAGAAAGTAGCCACCCTTGAGACTTCCATTCTTTAAGAGAGTCAAGATGCGTGACAAAAGAAAAAGCTACTAGCTAACAATCCACAGATCAGGATAACGGCAATCGAGCACATACTTCAACTCAAGAGTGAACGAGATCCATCCCACCTCCACAATAGTTAGAATTGAATGCATCGATGACCAGAACGTCGAGTTACACAAGGAGCTGGAGCAGGCATTTTCATATATATTTTTAATATAGTTTAAACATTAAAAAGACATGTAAATAAATATTTTGAAACACATGTAAATCACCAAAAATAAAAAAAAAAATTTAAAAATGGCAAAAAGGCCCTTAATTTTGAGTTCAACATTCTATTCTAACCCATCAGTAAAAGAGGGAAGACAAACATCAACCCCAAATACAGTTTATTACACCATAGGATAACTAACAACAACAAAATCATACAATGAAATCTACCAAAAAAAAATAATAATAATACTAAATAAATACTAATCTAATTGCATATTAGACTGCTAAACATTATAAAAAGTAATAAGAAAGAATCACCAAATGAATCTGTAAGCGAAACCATTAATCAGTTAGTTACCTCTCGCAGGTTCAGCAATGGCTTCTGGTGGTGGCTTTATATACTTTCCCAGAGATTTTTGCCGTGTCCTACCCCTTATTCTCCTAATCTTCTCCTTGCTTTGTTGCTTTCTCTTCTCCTTCTGGTGGTGCCGAATGCTCCTTTCCCGGTCATAGATGCCCTGCCAAAAGACCTCACCGGTCGAGGGCCACAGCCATCGCCGGTTAGGGTGGTCGGAGTCGTCGGATTCCTCAGCTAATTCCTCATCCATGCTTTTGAGAGTGGAGAATAAGAACCATTTGATCCACATTTTGCCTCTCCTTCTTTTCAATTGGTGCTGCTCATGCGTTGCTCCAGTTTCTGGATTCACATAAATGATCTGCCGTGCGCTGTGGTAAGCCCACACGTTGATGAGTAGCTCCAGCATTCGAGAGTAGCAATGCCGATCCTGGTTACCGCATACCAGCGCATTAGTATTTTTATGATTTGTAGTAAATAATTTTTTAAGATTTAGGCTGAGTGATTTAGGCTTCCTTTGAGACGGCTTTTTTGATGCTTCTTAAAACAACTTTCTAGTACAAATTTTTAATTTTTATACTAAAAAGATGTTTTGAGCAGCAATAAGAAAGCCGTCCCAAACGAGATCTTAATGGAAGAATGGTTTATTATATTGAGATTCACATGGTGTTTTAAATAGGGTAATGTTAAAGATGAAATAATGATCGAGTTTAATGGATGAAGAGCCATCAGCTTAAGAATTTAAATAAATGGGTAAAGACTACCATAACTTTTATATTAGTACACCTTTTTCACCTCTAATGTAGGACTAATGTAGTATTTTCTTGTGGATCTCAACAATATTCCCTTCACCTCAAATGAGAGGCACTAAATTCTCACCCTCCTAACAACTAATATCAGAGCTGTTTAGGGTAAAATGTTCTCAGAGTTCTGTAGCTTTCAATAGTTTTGATAGCTATCAGTTGAGAGCATAATGAAATGGACCTTCCCAAAATCACTGGATGAATGCTACATGGGTGACAAGAGGCATCAGATCTTGAACATCCTACATCTCTGTTCGAAGCGACAAATGGCAGAGACTCTCCAAGCAATGTTATTTCAACGGCTTCTAGGAGCTGGGGAATAACACCATAAAATGTCACTTGAAACTAGAGAATAAAGTAATACTTTTCAATGTTGCCTTTTTAACTTTTTAAATTTTGTTTGAGACAGCTTTCTTATTGCTTCTTAAAGCAACTTTCTATTACTACAAGACTATTTTAAGCAATAAGAAGGCCATCTCAAACGGAAACTTTAAGGAGTTAAAAATAACTCAACACTACAACTGTGTTGCTAGGAAGAGGGGAGATGGTCAACTCAAACATGTGATATGACAAGCTATGTCCAACCAGGAGTACATTTCATTGGTCTGGTCTATTTGGTTTACAAATTTGTTAAGTCAATTAATTTTGATTCTAAAATTAAAAAAGTCAACCAATTATTTTTTTTTTCAAATTGAACTAAACATAACCAAATTTTAGTTTGGTCAATTCAATTCGATTACTGATGAATCAAAATGTAATTAACTTTAATAACAAACATAAATAACTTTTGCTTAACTAACTAAAATATCAATCCAACCGAATCAAACTAACTTAATAAAATTTTATTTTAACTTAATAAAATTATTGATGAATCAAAATGTAATAAACTTTAATAACAAAAATATTTTTTAGAGTAAGATTTTTGATCTTAAGTTTTTGTCTATACATGAGCATATATATATATATATATATATAAGTTAGCCAAACAAAGAGATAGGAGTGGTAAAGATTTAGTTTAAGTGAAGTGTATTAAGGATGAAGATCAAAAAGTATTTTTCTTAGAAAATGATATTCAATAAAGGTAGATGAGATATTTTGCTAAACTTTTTAATGAAGAATGTGAAAATACGATTGACTTTAGTGACTTAAACGCCTAAATAAAAATAAAGATTTTTGTTTTTATCGGCATATTAGTAAAACCGAAGTTAGAGAGGCTTTAAATGAAGTGCGAAAAAGTTGTTGGACCTGATGATATTCCAATAGAGATATAGAAATGCTTAGGAGATGAAAGAATTTTTTGGCTTACTAAACTTTTTAATACTGTTTTGAAGACTAAAAAGATGTCAGATCAGTGGAGAATGAGTGTGCTAATTCCTATTTTTAAGAATAAAAGTGATGCACAAGAGTGTGCGAATTATAGAGGAATTAAGTTAATGTGTCATACTTTAAAACTATGGGAGTGAGTTATGGAGCGTAGGTTGCGGCGTGATACTAATGTTTCTGAAAATTAATTTGGATTCATGTCGGGTAGGTCTACTATGGAAGTCATACATTTATTGAAAAGTTTGATGGAGAAATATAGAGAGAATAAGGAGGATCTACATAGGATATTTATTGATTTAGATAAATCATATGATAAGGTTCCAAGAGAAGTGCTGTGGAGAGTTCTTAAAAAGAAAAGAGTTAATAACACTTATATTCAAATCATAAAAGATATATATGTAGGAGCTATTACTTGTGTTCAAACACAATGTTGTTTGACCAAGTATTTTCCTATTTCGATTAGATTACATCAAGGATCAGCCTTAAGTCCATATCTTTTTTGCTTTAGTAATGGATGTTCTCACTAGACATCAAGAGGATGTACCTTGGTGTATGCTTTTTGCTAATGATATTCTTCTTGTTGATAAGAGTAGAGAGGGAGTTAAAGGTAAACTTGAATTATGGAGTTCAACCTTAGAGTCTAAAGGTTTTTTCTTGAGTAGATCTAAAACTGAATATATGGAGTGTAATTTTAGTAGCAATAGACCTAGTGAGGGGATTGTGAATTTGGGCAATCAAGTCATTAATAAGAGTACACGTTTTAGATATCTTGGATTTATTGTTCAGAGTGATGGTGAAATTGATGGAGATATTATCAGTAGAATTCAAGTTGGTTGGTTGAAGTGGAGGAATGCATCAGGCTTGTTATGTGATAGAAAAGTCCCCATCAAACTTAAGGGAAATTCTATAAGATGGTGGTGAGACCTGCAATGCTTTATGGTGTCGAATGTTGGCCATTAAAAGAGAAGCATAATACTAAGTTAAGTGTTGCAGAGATGAGGATGCTTAGGTGGATGAGTGGCTTTACCCTTAGAGATAGGATATGAAATGAACATATACGTGAAAAGGTTGGAGTAGCTCCAGTTGAAGATAAGATTAGAGAGAGTCGCCTTAGATGGTTTAGTCATATTAAATGGAGGCATTCTGATGACCTGGTTAGGAAAGTTGATGTATTAGATTTGACTTATGTTAAGAAAGGTAGAGGCAGCCCTAAAAAAACTTGTTTAGAAAATATTAGAAATGATCTTTCTTTTTTAGATTTGATTGAGAACTTGATTTTTAACAGGACACGATGGCGAAAAAGGGTTCATGCAGCCGACCCCACATAGTGGGACAAAAGCTTGATGTTGTTGTTGTTGTTTTATCCAATCAATTAACACCACTTATTTAAATTTTTAAGGAAATAAGTAGAGAATGAATTATATATCTCAAAAGAGAATAGGCTTCGCTAAGTTCAAAATGCAATAACAACGGCAAAAGTGTTGATCGCATATTTGTGCATTCAAGGTGTCAAACAAATCAATTAAGATTGGTTTGATTTTACTTTTTTTTTTTTAATTTTATTCAATCAATGTACCCACTTAAATTTTTAAGGAAATTATCTTGAGAGAGCTGTACCTTCCCTAAGTTTAAAAGGCATAAACTACTTTGATGGTGCTGCTCATACATCTGTGCATCCAAGGCATCTATAAACATTCTGCAATTATTGAGGCAACGTTAGATCAAGTATTCTATTAACAAGTTATCAGCAAGAGAAAAAAAAAAGTATATGCGTATTACTATACTATTTTCTGGTAGCAGAAGTTCCAAGTGTTTGATGAACAAATGTAAGATAAAAGTTTCTCCAGACAGAAGTTATCAGTGCAATCTATACGCATAAATAATGCTATTTATCAGTGCAGCATATGCACAAAACAAGAGATCCAGTGAAGTTCAAAAAATAAAACCAAAATGAAACAATGAAGTTTTTGACGCATTAAAATTTAATGGAAAGAAAATTAACCAGCACATAACACTGGAAAAGTAAACACATGAAGCAGGTCAAGATCGTTTTACATAAAAAAATATACCTTGAAAACATGACAAACTCAAGAAAAGATCTCGTTGGTAATGCCCAACTATGCATGACAGACCAAGTGCCGCCAGTTTTAGGCATTGGGGGCAAAGCATCCAGGTCATGTGTTACACCATACATCTGCTGCAGAGCCTTAGAAACAGTAAACCTTCATAAAAAAAGAGAGATTGTTAGTATTCAATTCAAGCTGCTTAGACTAGTTTACAGCTACAAAAGAGGACGTGCATTTGGATTATATGAAAAAAAAAACTGAAAGAAGCCTTATTAATCAGATGAGATAAAGTGAAAATCAGTGAAAATTGTACTTCCAATTTTTCATGAACAAGAACTGAAGACACACCCAGCTCAATTGGAAAAGGTGAAGAAAGTCTTTGTAGTGACATGGTACCGTATCACCAAAAGAAAGCTTTAGCAAGCATCTTTGATTCTATTCCAGAAATAAGGTGTATTCACAATCACCAAAGGGTTGCATCAAATTAAAAAAAAAAAAAAAAAAGTGTAGTTACATAAAACTCACTTCAATTTGAGGTCTAGAGATGGTTTAATAAATGCAACATTACCGACTTTTCAAGCATGAAAATTCAATCAGTTGACGAATATAATATCAAATAGTACATAAGTGATATTAAAAATGGCTGTAAAACTCCAAGCTACAAAAAAAAGCAGACTCTAGCACAAAAAAGACAGAGGCCGATGAGAGAAAACATTATACAGTAATGCTCATGATACGAAAATTTTCATGACCAATCTACACACATAAGATAATGCACTTGACTAAAAAAAAAAGAGAGATAATGCACTTGACTGTTTTGATTAAACTAAGCATGGAAGTGATGAAACAACAAAGATATTATTCACCCACCAGGACGTAGGCCTACAGCGTTAAATAATTTGATCTTTTCTGTGAACATAAAATTTCCCCTTATGCGCCTCTAATAAAACTATAATCAAATAAACTACGTGAGAAAGAAATGCGGCACTGTAGAATACATCTCTAAATCCCCTCTTCCCAACTCACACATCTGCTCTATTTTTAGTTTTAAATATTTATCAGTACCAAGCAAAAGGGTCAATAGTAGAAACTATGAAAGAATGGGCACCGAACAAACCAACCAAGGCTCATTGAATTTCTTCATTTGTTGTGCATGAGGAAAAAGCTCCAGGTCATAATCGTCATTGGCCAGAGGCCACCAAGTGTATACCCTAACACAAAACACCAATTATTAGACACCAACTATTAGTGCATCAATGGGCTCCTAGGATGCGAAATCAAGAATTCCAAATAGTTGCAACCACTACACTCCACCTCTGAGATTTATTCTTCATTAAATGTTGTTCTCATGAGAGGAACGATTTTCAAATAAAATTTGCAAACATTGGTGTCTTTTCCTACAAAACCTGAAAAAGGGAGCGAACCTCATAGTTTTTCACATTGATCCACCACATAAAACTTCAATTTATAACCACCATTGCAATCACAACATTTTTGCCAACAACATAGGATGTTGGATCATGTTTTGCTTATTGGAGATGGTAACGACATCAATCGTTATCAGCCAACCAGCAAAGTTTAGGTTCAGGTAGGCTAGCCCAATGGCAGTGACCATCTAATCCAAATTTGTATAAATTTTGATGACGATATGGTTGTTATCGTTCATTCCTAACAAATGATGAATATGCTAATAACATGCTATTTGCTTGTTGATGTCATATCTATAGCAACGGGCTTCGAAGCTCATCCCCACCATCACTAGTACCTCCAATGTCGTTGCCCTCATCTTTATTGCCTCAGTGACAATGTTATATTAGTATTCCTTCAAAAGCTCAGAGGGGATGAACACATGTACTAAATTTATATTGATGGTGCAAGTTTCTCTTCTATGTTAGACCAGTGATTTTCTGCCAGTATTTTCTTTAAGCAATCACCAGAGCTTCTTATCTGCATCTGCCTAAAATTCATAAGTTAGAATGAGCGTGAATCTTTCATGCTCATTTCATGGGAATTCTTTCAGGCACACAACACTTTGTTTATTGGATAGATCTATCATTAGCTTGTTTCCTATTACTTGCAAACAAAGCTACATCATTATATGACCAAGGTTTTAATCCTTTGAGAATTATTTCGTTGGATTCATAAGTTCAAATACCATAAAATTAAGATTCACTCTTGAATTTGAGGAGAAAGAAGTGACAATATAAAACATTGCCAAATAAGGTCACTAAGGAAGGATGAATAATCAAAACCTGCAGTTTCCAGCATTTATAGCATCACAAAAGGACCAGAAACCTTGCTGCAGAGGATTTCTTGGATCCTTGTCCATACGAACCCAAAAATATAATGCATCACCATGTTTTTGTGCTTCAATGGACTCCAAGAGTGCCTTCTCAGCCTTCTTAGATAAGGATTCCTGTAATTATAAAAGAACTGGTTAATGCCTGATGTTCCTTTTTGGAAATAATCTGTAGCCAAGTTCATAATTTCCACGTTACTAGTTCTTAAAAGTGGAGCATCCCAAAACATGAAATTGATTAAATAAAATACATTTTTTAAAGAATTTAACTGAAAAGAAATATTACATGTAAGAAAAACTGCCAAAATGGAGCATTAATAAATAAACGAAATCTAAATGTTTTAAGGGATTCGAACCAGGCATCCTCTTTGGAGGCAACTATTACTTTGCCCTAGATCTGGTGTTGTATAGAAAAAGACAATTCCTGAACCAAGAAGCAACTTGGTTCATGCTGAACAGTTTTTTCCATGAAGATTGGATCGAAGTTGATGTATTGGGGAGAAAAAAATATAAAAAGATCTTCCAAGGATAATTGCTTCTCCACGCTAATATTTTAAAGCAGTTCATTATTAGCAATAATGATTCATCGAATATGAAATCTAAGAAACCACATTTAACTGTGAAACACATAAAAGGGGCATAGAAACGAAAGTAGTACGTCTGCTCGTAATATTGAGACAGCTGAAATTTCAAACAAAGCCTGAATTAGATGCAACATTTCCCAATGTTATGTGAATATGATGCATCTTGGAAGTAAAAACAAAAAACAAGGGAGAAGAAAAACATAGGAACACAAGATAATGGCTGTTTTTTTGTATTTCTTTTTCAAAAGATACAATTGATCTACTATTCGAGAAGTAGATCAGCTCTCTCGCAAACCCTAGCCGCCGCTAGGAGATTCACCAAATAAAACTACAGCAAACACAAATTCTGCATAATCCTGAAATCACCCCATAGTAAGCCCAAAATAGGCTTCCCCAACTCCCTCTCAAACAACCTACTTTCCCTAAACGATTCTCTAATTTGAATTCAATTTGGAACTCTTTTCCTAAATAATTCTCCCTCCCCCCAATTTTAATTAAAACCTTCCTAATTATCTCTCAATTTATTTTTCCTCCTTACATATTGAATTAGAGCTTTTCTGGGCCTCACAAAGGGGACCGAACCCCCCTCCTTATTCCTTGCTAGGCTCAGTTCTTCTAAACTAGGCGGGAGCCTTTCGCCCTTAGAGATCCTGGGCGTAATTGACACTTCATGTGCCCCTGTCTCTCCTCCGCGCACACCTTATACTCCTAGGGGTTCCAAAACAGCTTCCATGTCTTCTATCAAAGTCGGGGGTAGTGAAGATGGTGTGTGATTTCCTATCGCCTTTCTCAGCTATGAGACATGAAAAACCAGGTGCAATGTTGATGAAGTTAGTAGCCTCAATCAATAGGCCACTGCTCTAATGCATTTTAAAATCTCATAAGGCCCAAAGTATCGTGGGTACAATTTCTCATTCCTCCTCCCGATTAGTGTCTTCTGATTGTAGGGTCTCAAGTTTAAATAAACCTTATCACCTTGCTTGAAGTGTACTTCTTTTATGTGTCATCAATCTTTTTTTTCATGATTTGTTAGGCTCTCAACAAATGTCCCTTGAGCTTGGATAATATCCTGTCTCTCTCCTCTAAGTACTGATCAACATTAATTTAAGGTTGGATATATATTCCCAGATTTTAGAATTGAAGTTGCTCTCTCATTCAAGGTTGGGTCTGAATTCTCAACTTTTAAAATTGAAGTTGCTCTCTCGTTTTTACTTGTGCGAGTCTATCTTCTATATATGACTTATTTATCTTTCCAATACAATTCACATTTAACAATCATAAATTGTATTATTGTAATCACTTCTTGATGAATTAATAAATTGTACATAATGAAAAATGAATTTAATCCTATTATGGTCATATCAAATATGAGGTTGCAGTATATGAAATTTTTACTATCTCCTATGTCATAATTTGTGTATCTCACCTTGCTACGAATTTGTTCTCCTAGATCCTGCTTTCTTTTCCTTATGTACACCATCTCAATGAAGTTTTTCCTCATTCAACTGTAACCTTTTCTCTCTTTCAACTTCTTCTCAACCACCACTTCCTCTTTACCTTCCCTACTATTTCAGCAACAACCATAGCCCTTTCCTTCTAAATTCGGCAAACACAACAACACCATTACCTAATTTCAACCATTCTACAACAGCTCTTATCAAATTTAAGCACCCACAGTAGTTTTGATTTGTTTCAGATACCTGAATTTAGGTATTTGAAACATAAAAGAGTTGCTATAATGATGTTGTAATTTCTTAAATAGGTCTCTCAAGATTCTCCCACTTTGTACACTCCAGGTTGACCGTAAGAGGGGGTCAAAATGGGGTGTGACACTCGATTTGCTTTGAATCTCGGATCCCCTCCAGGTTCTATAGCTCCATCAAGTAGCCCAACCCTACTCCTTGTATCACCTTGACCATGGTTTTGAGTGAAACCATGATTCTGCACAAGCTGAAATCTCCTTGCAGCACCACCTTCTTCCCCTCCAACTAAATCTCCATAATCAAGGACTTCCAGTACACCTTTGTCTCCGCAATAATGTATAATTACTTCATCCCTAGAATCACATTAGTGCTCCCCAAATCCAAGGGATGAAAATTCTTAACTATCTGTATGCTCTGGAGTGCTAGCATCAACCCCATGCAAATCCCCTTGCTCCTCTCTATCTTCCCAATTCCCATCATGACTCCAAAGCTCCATATATCCACCAACTTCAATTCTAACTAGTCCACAATCCGATTGGAGATAAAATTATGAGTAGCTCCACCATTCGCCAAGACCATCACTGGTTGCTCCTTGATCTGTCCCCTCACCTTTATGGTGTGATTTGGAGTAAATCTCATCATGGAATTAAAGGAAACTTCCACCACATCAAGGTTTAAGTGCTCCCCTCCTGCTTCCTCCACCAGATCCTCACTATCAGTCTCCACCTCGAAAACCATAAGGACCTAGAGTGTGCAGTCCTTGCACCGATAACCTGGTGCATACTCCTCATCGCAGCGAAAGCACAAACCTTTTGCATTATTTTTCTACACCTCTGCATCTGTGAGGACTTGAAGTTGGCCCTGGGTTGAACTCCCCCACTTTTCTCCCTTAATGCTTCCCACTAAAATGACAGTCTGAGTCCTTGGTGCCAGTGAAGTTGACATACTTTTGTAAGAGTTCTCGCAACCCCGCAATAACTACTACTCTCCATCTTTCACCGATCCTCAGCTATTTGGGTTAGCTCCAACGTCTCTTATAACCCCGCGGTCTCAGTAATCGAAGGACCGCTTGTATGTCGAGCTTGAGGCACTTCATGAAATTTCCCTCAAATACTGCCTCAGAAATTCCTCTCAACCTCCTCGACAACAACTTAAACCCCTCCCTATATTCTATGATCGTCCCCTCCTGAGTTAAGGCAAGGAATTGCTCGTGTAGTTCTCCTTCCTGATTAGCTCGAAAACGTTCTAATAAATAGTCCTTAAACTCCTCCCATGAACGGATCGGATATCTAGCCTCTCTCCACTGGAACCAAACGAGGGCTTTCCCCTCCAGACATAACTCTGTGGTTGTAAGTGTCTCCTCCTCTTTCAACCTATTCACCGCAAAATATCTCTCCACCTGGTATACCCACCACCCATGGGCATCCTCCCCTTCGAACGCCTGCATCTTCAACTTCCTCACCTTCGCTACTCCACCCCAACTCCCTCTCCCACCAAAGGTTCCTCCTGTGTATCGAGGGTGGAAATCCCACCTTTCTCCCACCGGTCTCGTATGACCCAATCCCCAGGATCGGCCCGCCCCCCTCCTTCAGTCATCCACTCCCCTTGCCCAAAAAGCCTCTCATAATGGTCGGCCACTCCACCCCCACCATAAAACTCCCTTCTTGTTGTCCCCTCATCCGGAACCCCTAATTCACCCCTTATTGGAGCCCTAGGAGGTGGTTCTTAATTAAAGATACTTTCCTCATCAAACTATTCCCGTCCAATCTCTTTTCCCATAATTTTAGCCAAGGAAATCTCAGTCAATTTTGGGTTGGGGTTGGCAATTAGAACCACCGGTGGTGTTTTGGATTGTATCTCCATGAGCTTCCTTATCATCTCCTACACCCCTCCAAATCAGTTTTCCATATATGAAAACCTTTATTTTATGGTTGAGAACTTCTCCACGCCGGATTTGAATTGTCCCAGCTCGTCTTCCAACGCATCTACCTTATTTGCTGCCATTGTCTACAAAAAACCTCGCTCTTATACAAATTTGATGTGTCTTGAAAGTAAAGACAACAGACAAGAGAGAATAAAAGCATAGGAACAAAAGATAATGGTTGTTTTTTTTTGTATTTCTTCTTCAAAAGCAAAACAAGATACAATTGATATACTATTCGAGAGGTAGATAAACTCTTCCACAAAACCTAGCCGCCGCTAGAATATTCACATAAAAAACTACAACAAACATAAATTCTGCATAATCCTGAAATCAGCCCATAGTTAGCCCTAAATAGGCTTCCCTCAATTCCCCAAACAGCCTACTTTTCCTAACTGATTCACTCTCTCATTTGAATCTCCTTCTCTAAATAATTCTCCCTTCCCTCCCCCCCCCCCCCCCCCCCACCCCCCCCACCCAATCTGTACGAAAAAAAAATAAATTTAAACCTTCCTAAATATCTCTCTCATTATTTCTCCTCCTTACATATTGAATTAGAGCTTTTCTGGGCCCCACAAAGAGGGCCAAACCCCCTCCTTGTTCCTTGCTGGGTTCGGTTCTTTTGAACCGGGCAGAGCCTTCCGCCTCTAGAGGCCCTGGGTATAACAGAATAGAATACATGAAATGTACAAACGATGCCCATCATGTGTTGAGATCAAAACGAGTAAAAGAACATTTTCCACCTAGCTGTCAATCATCATGAGATTAGCAACTCTTAGTAATTCATAGTGCTAGTCCTCATACTGTACTCACAAACTCACAGATGCCCTGCACCTTGAGGAGAGAACCATGATTCTGAATAACACAACAAAACTGTCAAAATGAAGCCATAAGAAATTGCACATTGATCACAATGCAAATTTCTTAATAATTATCGAGTGTAATCATAGAAAATAAGAAAAAAATTACAGATGCACAATTATGATAGGATGTTCAACTTAACATGATAATATATACTCAATATCAGCATACCTTTCTGGCTCCGACCCTCCATGACTGAAAACCAATCCAAGCATTCTTGTGTATTCGGTCTATGCGATTGGCTAAAGCAAGAAAGGCTCCAAATTCACCCAGCGTATCACGGTAATATGAATTACCAAGAAGAGGTAGTCGAGAAATAGCATCTATATCATAGGCTCCAGGCCTCTGCCCTTTGGATAACTAACATTTAGCAAAAGCGAAAATCAAACTCAGCTAAAGAAAGGAGCTGTCTCCTTCAATTAGAACACAATAATAATAGAACAGTAAAGTCTACAGGTAATGCAAAGTGATTTACAATTTTTAAGAAAAATGGATATAAAGAAACAGAAAAGAAAACAAAGCAGGGATTAATGGTTTGAACACGACCCTAGCTTCATGTGGAAAATGAACTGCGCAAAGGTTCAACAAGTTTTGCACATTTATGCTATATGGAAGAACCTGAGTTATGCCATGACATTAACTTCTTTTAATATGATAACACATTAGTTGTAGTACCATGAAGAATGAAACTGTATGTCCGGGTACATAGCACCCCCAATATGGACCTTGCAATTGAGATGATATATCTACCACAGCTAATTTTTAATGAACTTGAAAAAAAATTTTTGTCAAATTGTAAAAATCCCTATCTAAACGAGCATAATTTTCAACACAAGAAAAGAATCTTGATGCACTTAACAAAAACCACTAGCATGAAGTACAATTAAGTTCACTTTGACTGAATTATCGCTCAAATGAGCCCACGTTGACTAGATTGACATCTAAAAATCTTTTAGGGTATGAGGAGGTCAGTGTACTCCTGGATCGATAAAATTGATGCCGGAATGGTCTCCAGCTGGTATAGTCTAGCACAACTCAGGGCTAGATAGGCCCATGTCAGGCAAAAAAGGCATTGGTGGCATAAGGGGAATGACAAGCTTGGTCCCTCAAAATTGATGATTGCTAAGGAGCACGTTGGCAGCCTCAATTGAAACTAGCAAACTAGCATGACATCATTTCTTTTTGAAAATCCCAAAAGCCCATATATTCTTTAAATCACAATGACAAACTATACTCCACCTTTTTGAGATATGTTTATCTAGCATTCCTCTCAAGATGAAAAAAATGGTTTCCTAGCAATTCGGAGGGTAAGGACAAGAGCATCCAACAAAGCACTAAATAATAATCTAGATATTGCTAAATAGGTCTGGGCATAGCCTATAAAGAGGTCTCAAAATCATTTCATTCTGAGAATCCTCAGTTTAAACTTAGAAAGATCTAAAAAGCTTTAGGATTTACACTTTCCATAGCTAACTTCGCCAGACTTTTTCAGTGCAATTCTATCGGCCCAAAGACTACACGCTGAATAATACTTGCAGGGACAAAATCCAGCTTGGTCGCCTGACCGTTTGCATTGTGACTCATTTGTTTTCATGTGCTAACACTCAAATGAGCTTGTCTTTCACTGATCTAACGGTAATTTATGGACAAATAGACAATTTCACTGACACTATATTAACCACTATTATTAAAAACCTATATTCCTCGATATTTCATGCATGTGCATTGTTTAGTTTCATATAACTGTTAATATTCGCACAACTGACTCACCATGACTTTCGAATAAATCTATTTTCTAGAGAATCTTGTAATGATGTCTCTCCAACTGCTCAAAAGAAGCTGAAAACATATACTTTCATTTTGTCCAACATATAGAATTTACTTACAAGCTAGAATCTGTGGTTTTTTTCCTTTTGGGTTTTCTAGTAAAAACTTTCATTTTCATATGTTTGCGTATTTGAAAATTTTAGACTTTAGATGACAATACTCTCTATCGATCCATAAGAATATTTTTAGCAGGGTTTACAACATTTGTAGGATACATTCGCATTCAAGATGACTCGCGATAAAAACAAACGATGATTGTTTGAGTGCAAGGACTTCAGCATCCTCTTATACAAATGCCCAAGGTTGTAAAAATTGAACAAGATATAAAATCGGATGAAGAGATTTAAGGTTCAATGGTTCGTCTGAGGGTTGAACCGGATGATATAATAACTATTAAAATTATTTAAATAATATATAAACGTACTTCTCATCAACTTATAGATTTCCACCTATTTATAGATAATTTCTAACATTGTCTTCCCCATTCATCCAAGTGCAACATCTCTTTTTCATTAGTCTACTCTATTTTAATAGTAAGCCACACCCATAATTCAATGATTTTAACTACAACTTGCCATCATGTATTCTTTATTTCTAACATAAGTTTATTTTAAGCGTGCTTTATAATACATGTTTATTATAAATTTATAATAATATTATTTCAGGATAAATGGATATTGCATTACTTTGTGTTAATATGATCATGTTTTGATTTATTAAATTGATGAGAAATTTTGAAAATGATAAAAACTTATATTTTGTTATGTACAAAAAAAATTATTTTAATATTTATCATTATAAATGATACATCCATAAATAACTGAATTGAAACCTTATGGAATTAAATTCAAAATCATATGAACATCAATTTCAGCAAACTTCTAGTCGATATGAATGCCATAATGAGACAAACACAACGACACCAAAAGTGGTTCAATCCTAAGCATAAAGGAGCCTAAATCGAGCACTTGAAGTATAATTAAAAACTTCAAACAATAATTGAATTAGCAAATGATCTCCAAAAAATTAGATATGCTTATAGTCGAATCAAGCAACTCGAATAAACGAATCTAACGAGCCCAAGATCACTCAATTATGACATTATTAAGGCACTTAAATGCTGAATGAACGCTTCATGATCAAGGGAATCAATATCGATCATACGATAGAGTATTTTGAATTCTTGCTCAAATTACAAAAATACTCATCTCAAAAAAACTATAAATAGGAGCTCATTCTTCACATAAAGTGGGGCGGTAAAGAAGAGAACTAGAAAGCTCTCTTGTGTCACCGACAACGACCACCGCCAACTATTGCCATCGACAACCACAATTGTCACCAATGATCACTGTCACCATCTCCAGAATTATGACAATATTTAATCATGTTGTTGGGAAATATGTCCGCCTATGGAAACCTGCTTTTTATACTCCATATCGGAGAAATCAAGCCCTATTGTTGGGTTAATTGCCCCTCTATGGATAATTGATTTTTTTGTCCCTTAGAAAAAATCAAACATTTGTTTAATCTCCCTCTTCTTCAACAATAAAGAAAGGAGAATTCTTGTATCACTTACTATATAGTGAATTTTTTAATTGGGTCAGTCTCTGTGATTTTTTCCTTTCCTGGCTTTTCACATAAAAATTTTCTAATCTTGTTACTTTTATCTATGCATGCTAAATTTTTTTTACAACGCTGAAACGTAAAACATATACTCTACCAATTCAAAATTTCTAGCATGTAGCAGTTGAGCAATTTGATGTCGTTTGTGGGAACATTCCCAACATACTTCTTAAATAACTAACAATCAAACTTTCAATCAGAATACAAATATGGGTGATCAAGTCCCCCCAAGCCTCACTTTAGAGGACCGTATATGTAGGATGTAGGAACTTCAAACTCAAATCCTTCAATTATTCAAGGAGATTGGACAATAAAGGGCACCATCACAATATTATCCCTCAATATCAAAAACAGTTTAGAGATAACATCAATAAATGAGCACCTCCTTTCCAACAAACTCCTCTTCCCATGGAGTAATTATACTTGAAGGGGAATGAGGAGAGTTACATAACTTTAAAAAGGAGAGTTATATAACTTTAAGTTAGAGAGTTAGAAAACATAAAAGAAAAGAGTTATATAACATAAACGAAAAGAGTTATATAATATAAAGAAATATAGTTACATGGCTTAAAAAAAAATCTCTTTTAAAAAAATTATTGAAACGAAGAGAAAAAAATCTCTTAATAAAAAAGAAAAAAAAACTCTTTCAAAAACAAAATTGAAAAAAAAAAGAGAAATAAAATTTCTTTTAAAAAAAACTCTTTGAAATAAAACAAAAAAAATTAAAATAAAAAACAGAAAATAACAAAAGACAAAATTGAGGGCGCCCATCAAGGCACCAGATAACAACCACTGAAGCGCCAACATAGCGCCCCAAGGCGCGCAGCAGGCCACTGGTAGCGGGGGTGGCCAAGACGGTCAGCCCAACAAGCCTAGCCCAATTCGAGCCTAATTTCGGGCCCAAACGGGTCTATTCCAAAGATTTTGGGGATCTCGGGATAATTTATCAATGTTCTAGACTCCATTTTGGTATTTTCAAAACCCAATTAAGCTTTTATGATCAAATTTAAGCTATTTTGAATATTTGGAGAAAAATTCTAATAATTTGTGCTCCAATCAATGCACTAATCTTATAAAAGTTTGAAATTAAAATTAACATGATTTTATTTGGTTCATGGCCTTGAGGAGAGGTCCATTCTAACATCCTGTGAGTGATTTATTCTTGTAATTATAATTTTATGTCACAACAATTTTCAAAGACTTTAATATATTTTCGGATGCAATAAGCTTTAGATCTAAAAATAAGGGGCAAATCATACATCCATAAAATCCAAACAATTTGGCATGAATCTCAAGGCAAATTTGAAATTGAAAACTTCTAAAATTAAATTCAAAATCATATGAACTCCAATTTTAGCAAACTTATAGTCAATATGAACGCCTAAATGAAACATCCAACGAAACCAAAAGTGGTCCAATCGAAGCCTAAATAAGCCCAAATAGAGCACTTGAAGTATACTTGAAAACTTCAAACATTAATTGAATGACCAAATGATCTCCAAATTAGACATTCTTATAATCAAATTGAGCGACTCGACGAGACAAATCTAGCGAGCCCAAGATCACTCAACTATGACATTATTAAGGTACTTAAATGCTAAATGAACGCTTCATGATCAAGGGAATCAACATGGGTCGTACGATGAAGTGTTTTGGGTTATGCTTCAAATCATCAAAATATCCATTCCACTAAACCTATAAATAGGGACTCATTCTTCACATGAAGTGGGGGAGGAAAAAACAGAACTAGAGAGCTCTTGTATCTTCGTCGACGACCACCACCATTTATTGCCACCGACAACCACCATTGGCGCCAACGATCATTGTTAGTGATCAAAACCATCTGTAGAATTCTAACAAAATTTAACCTTGCTATTGGGTATAGTCGTCCGCCTATGGAAACCTTCTTT